AACTGGAGGGACAATGTGCATTGTGTTCATTACATTTATTTCTTGCCATTCTTTCCCTAATCTGCAAAAGCGATGCAAACAGGAACACAGGAGATTCAAACATTCACAGAGATGTCAGTCGTGACGTTTTATACCTTTTTTTTTTATAGCATCAAATAACTACTTGAAAAGACAATATTTGAGAAGTATGAAAATAAAAAGCCATCATGTTAGAAACTTGGTTTGAGAAAAATGTATTTGATGTGTATTGTAATTTTAAAGTTTGCATCATGTCCCATCTGCAACATTGAGGAGTCCGAGTTTACTACCTATACTGCAGCGAGCCAGTCAGCAGGAGAATTTCTAAATATCTCAATTTAAGATTGAGGGAGCTTTTGAATCTGTGACAGCAGCATAGACAGTTGGATTAAAACATCAGACAGCCGTTAATGAAGGAATCTTACTCAGGCGGCCCTAACATTGTTTAGATTTGATGTATTAGACACGAGTTACAACAAAAGACTTATCAAATAATAGTGGGAGAAAAAAATGGACTTCCCACACATGCTTGTGTTGAAGTGTAATATAAAGTTATTCAACTAGATCCTAAGATTAATCAATTAACAGCTTCATGTTATCATCAGAGAGTGGTTGCATCGACTGATAACTCGACAGTTTCTTCAGGATATCCGTTACTTCGTTGTCATGAGTTGAGTAGAAAGTAATGGGAAAAATAGATGTTGTAGGGAGACACCATCGCAGGAATGGAGGCTTGTTTACTTCCGGTAATTTGTCAGATTCTCGTGTAAAGTCAACGGGTAAATAAATAATAAACAAGCAGCCTTAAAGGTGTTACAGCAGATGCTTCTCTGTATACTTTGGGAAGAGTAAGGCTAGCTGGTTCCTTCTGCTCCTAGTCTTCATGCTAAGCTAAGTTGATAACAACATGACTCCAGTGTCGTTCTTGATGTCATTGCTCGTGATATTGATCTTCTCATCTCGATCTCAGAAGAAAAAAAAAAAACAACTTTATTCTAATGAGTAGCCTTTGGAAATCTTTACTGTACAATGACAAAATCCCTCACTGGCTTCCCCTTGCAGAAAACACTGCCGCTGTAATCACTGCGGCTGTAGATGAAGCGTGGAAGAACACGGGGATATAAATACACCAGTGATCCTGCTGGGAGGAGGAACCGTCTTACCACCTTCATCTGCATCTTAAACGCTCTTTATCCACAGAGAGGGAGAACCGGAGAGCCACATTAAGTGAATGTGGTTTTGCTGACGGTAGCATTAGACATCACACTGCATTATTATTATGCAGAGGAACGCACACATTAGCATAACAAGCCTGTGTGTGTGTGTGTGTGTGTCTAAGTAGGTCACGTTCAGAGCCTTCTTCATCCAAAATAACGCACATGCCCACACACGCACTCATGCACACTTGCGCACACACACTCTTAAACACACACATCAGACCAATCAGGAATATGAAAACAGACAGGGGAGCTCCAGTCTGGGACTCAGTAAGAACATAGTGGAAACTAACAGAGAGAAAACTACCTAATCAACTGCAACAGTTGTTTAATTAAAACAAAATTATAATCGTTAAAACGAGTTAGACAGAGCAACAACACGCTGATAATTCGATGATTCTTCGTTAAACCTCATCGGAACCAGAGACGAAAATGTGTCTATTTGGTGGTTACTATTAAGAAGTTTATCAAAGCCTAAAAAGTTCTTCCTGTGTCGAGCATGACCAGGATAATCATGCAAATCTCACCACTGAACTATTTCCAGAACTTCTTTTGACAGACGTGTTTGGAAAACTAAGTCTCAGGTGGGCTATAGCATCAAGGACTTTGCCTTTGAACATGACGCACCTGCTCTTCCACTGAGCTCAACCAGCTGCACAGATTTCAGGTTTAATATTTGTGTTTTAAATGAGTCCACAAGGCTACTCCAACCGAACAACCCAGCGAGCAAAACCCAAGAAAGCACACAACCTGGGGCCACTTTCAGGAAGACAGCCTATAAAGAGCCACGTTTTAACAACGTTGCCATGAATTCTGGGTAAGTAAAACAACTGCTTCAGACTGCTCAGCCCTGTTTTTAAGAGAAAATGTTTGAAAATATTGAAACGTTTAAAGGACATTTTATTGGGAACATTAAGTGTCAGTCCAAAAAACGTCCAGAAGCATAAAACACAAGCGACGCAAACCTGCAGCAGAGCTCAGATACTCTGGTTTCATAACTTCTCAACCAGGGTGGTTTCCTCAGATATTTTAAAATCATTCATGCTTTGGCCTCTGCTCAATAGTTACAACAGGTTCTGCAATATCCAAAACAATTGTTCTACTCTCAGATTTGCTCCACAACTCTGTAAGCAAATATGAGACTATGAGCCATGTTTTGATCTTCTTTGCCACTCGTTAAATATGTATTCAACTGTTAGCATCGCAACATGGGCTTAATTAAGCCAGGAGCTACAATACCTTGCTAACATTTAGAGTTTAAATGGTAATCTTGGGGGGCTCTGGCAGCTCAGTGGTTAGAGCATGCCCTTTGTACGGAGGCTACAGTCCTCCAAGCGGCAGGCCTAGGCTCCCTTTCCCGCATGACATTCCTCACTCTCTCTCTCTGATTTCTGCACAAAAATAAACCTTATAAAATCGTAATCTTGGCCTTTCTATAGTCGTAAAAAAATGTACATGAGGTCAATATTTTTGTGACGTGTCCATCATGAAGCAGTGGGAGGAGATAGAAAAAGCACAAGTGATGTAATGTTTAGTGCTGCCTCTGCTATAATGTTTGACCTTGAGGTGAAACAAACTGTTTTTTTGTTTTTTTAAGAAATCCGGGGGGGAAACTACAATTACCACCTATCATCAAAGGGTTCACCAAGAGAAACAATATTTAGATCTTGTAGTTTGGTTCTTTAAAATGTGTCTGATATTTTGTGACTTTTGTAAAACTGTTTAGAGACAAAACTAAGACTTGAGGTTTGGTTTGATGTGTAAAATCCCTGAAACAGTTTTGGATCAATCATAAGTTTAACCAGCAGAACGTAAACCAGACAAACACTGTACAAGGAAACTGTTCATAGAATGAGGCTTTAACACACACACACACACGCACACACACAGAAACACACAGACACACACACACACACTGTGCCCTGGTGATGAGCAGCAGTGTGTGGGTAATCACAGCAGTCACGCTATCTATAATCAGAGGAATGTCAGACTCACAGTCATTCAGACAGACAGGAAGACGTCACGAATACACGGCACTAATCAGATATTCAGTTTAATCTAGAAACATCCAGAACTTCTGCGATAAAGGATCCATAATGTTGTTTTTTTTAATGAGATTCCTGGAAATTGTCATCATCACATTAAAGTGAGCGAGGCTGCACAGTGTGTTACTGTTTGTAGCAGAGATCTGAAGTGAGTGAATTTATCACCATCCGCAGAAAGAGCGCCTCCAGTTTCTGCCTGTTAATGAGCATTTTCACATTAACAACCTGAGTGGATCTGCAAAAAATGATAACTGAAGTGTAAAGGGCAGTTAAGACGAGTGCTGGATAAAAATATCAATTCATCAATTCATTGTAATATTCTTTTTCCCAATTCATTTTCCGTTCAGTAAATCCTGAAATCAATTATTGTGTTGTTGAAAACTGAGACACGTTGTAAGCCTAATTATAGCCGCACCATTTACAAAATGCACAGTCAAACTAAGAGGAAGGATTTGTTTTTAATTGAACATGCACTTTACTTTGTTCCATGTAATTACGGCACAGTTATGTTTATTACTTAATACTGTAAAGTCAGCTCAGGCACAGATGTGCACTTTAGAGCATAGACTTGAATGTTTTTATTCTTTGTTTATTAAGAATAATGCAACGGTAAAATACTTTTTTTTTAAGGTTTATTTTTGTGGCTTTATTGGAGAGAGAGGACAGTGGATAGAGTCGGAAATCAGGGAGAGAGAGAGAGAGAGAGAAAGAGAGTAGAGAGAGAGGGGAGAATGACATGTGGGAAACTTTCCACAGGTCGGATTTGTACCCGGGCCGCCCGCTTGGAGGAGTATAGCCTCCATACACCACCCTGGTAAAATATAATTAATAAATAAATATCAGAACGCACTGCAATGAATCATCGTGGTATTTCTGTCAGCTATGCGTTTTATTAAATGGATATCGTAGCAAATTGATAAACATCAAATGGTTAGTACTCTAATTCACTTTATGTCGCAGTTATATCAAAACTCTATCACACACTAATATCTGATAATTGAAACTGATTTAAAGAATATGTTGTACATCATGGATTATACTATAGTCTGCTGTAATGCTCATCCATCCAAAGGATTGAGTAACACTTTAATGTTGTGTATCCACAGAATAAGAACAAATGTTAAAAATGACCACGATCCAATTCTAAATATATTCCTAATTTGATTTTGATATATATCTATCCTTGTTATATCATCCTTTTCTTGTTGAAGATTTCAGCTTTCATCAGCCTGTATAGCAATAATAATTAAAGCTAAACTTAAACACCTCACACAAGAGAAAACTGTTGAGGTATCCTAGTTGGAGGCACAGTCAAATCAACATAAATGTACTGATTTACTGATTTACATTTAAGTGAAGTAGCATCTCCAAAAAATTATGTATTTATTGTTTTGTGGAAATAACGCACAGAGGAGTGGACAGCAGATTCTGTCTATAAGAGAATCACGATTTGCAGAGTGTAACTTCCAATTTAGACTGTAAACAGCGTGAGGGCAGGAGGACCAAAACCTCAGGTCAAGGTTCGAGTCTAGGTCAAGACTTTTTGTGTCATTTAATACCCCAGAAAACAACACACTGACACATAGCACACAAACACATCCCTGCAGACACAGTGTGTATAAATACATACAATCAGGCACCCAGACATGGGGAAAAAACATGTTACATCCAAAGCGGCTAAACATGAAGCTCACGCATGAAAATGAGAAGGATTTCCTACCTCGACTGAGGAAACTACTCCACATCATCGACAGGGAAACAGCTGGCTCACCTCCTCCTCCTCCCTCTCCCTTCTGTCATCTGCTCCCCCGATAACAAAAACCAACGAAGGGAAAACCCAAAACAAACAGCAGAGAAATCGCCACCTGACTGACTGTCTGTGTGAGTGCAGAGGGACACGTGTGAGTGTGTGTGTTTCTGTGTGTGTGTGGATAGAGGAGGGCGACCGACACAGCGAGAAAGAGACAGAGCGTACAGTGCATTTGAATCACTGAGGTGATGATAGTCACGGTGAGCGGTGATGACAGCCACTCTGTCTCAAAGGAAATCCCTCTTTCACTGTGTCTCTATCTCGGTGTTGCTCACTCGTTCTCAGCCAGTTCATGGCATCGCGGTTCACAGAGGAGAAAGAGGAGGGGAGGGGAGGACAGGCGAGGAGATTGGAGGACAGAGCTGAGGAGGAGAGAAAGATACAAGCGCCTAATTGCACCATTTTAAAGACCAACATGCATAATAAATGTGGCCAAGACTGAAAGAAAGCAGACGAAAGAAGCAACTTGGAAGCCAACAAATAATTTAGCAACACGACTTTTATGTGGGAAAAAAAGGAAAGACTCAATAAAAACAAGAAGTCCTTAAATAAGCCCAAGTAAGAAAGTGAAAAGCCAAAATCATAGTTATGATCCAAAAAGCAGAAAAAACAAGTCATCCTTTATCAGTCCTTCTTGTATCCTACCCGTTTTGTTTTAAGGTGTACAAGTCCTCAACCAATAAACCAGCCCTTTACAATCTTCTAAGTTTAACACCAACTATCCCTAGATCATCAATCCTTCTAGATATATACTAAACTTTGACTGTATCTTCACCAGACCTATCTGTCCCCAGTCCCTCGTATGTACGTACCAACCCTTTTGCTATCGCTCAACTGGAATTACCATTTTCTTTAGGTCCTGATTAGTCCTTCCAATACCTTTCCTGGACGTGACTCATCCCACCAATTTTCCAAACTGTTAGTCTACCCAGTTTAACATTTGGCCTGTTCTCCTAGAACTCTGTTATCCAACACTTCACCTTGACTCGTCCCTACCTTCCCTATACTGTACCAGCTATCTTTAGGTTTTTTCTCTTTAACATTCACTAGTCTTCCCACTTATTAATCTTTTATACCAATTTCTCAATGAGTTCACAGTAATATCCCACTTTTAATAAGATTTACTAGTCATCCCAATGGCTTTACAACACCGTAACCTTTCCTCCCAGTTTGTTACCATTTCTGCTGATGTAACATTTTGACGACTCCTACTAGTTCTAGACCAGTAACACACATTTTCTATGAACCTCGACTAGTCCTACTAGTTCTTTGTTATGTCTTCTACAAGTTTACCTTGACTAGACCTCTCAACTCTATATGATTACATTAGTCCAACCAATTACTTTCTACTAAACTTAAAGTACTTTTCCAACTTAATACCAATCGTTTACCTACGTAGTCCCACAGGTGTTACCAGCTGTCAACCACACGTTTTTTCCAATGGCTTTTAAAACACGTTTATTTCCCCTACTTTACCCATAGTCTTCTATTTCCACTGGTGCTTTCTAACTGGATAAATAAATCCAACACCTTTATAAGCGATTGACTTTTCTTACAAGTTGTCCACTGGTTTTGCTTGGGAAGCCAGAGTTTTACTAGACTTGGCTACTCCTACAAGTCACCACCAGTTCTAGTAGTCCTACCAGTTGTCGACTAGACCTTGACTAGTTCCACCAGTATTATGTCAGACACTGATCCATACCAGTAGCAGACTCTGCAAGTCCTGAAAGCCCTTTACCAATCATTCTTCTTCTGTCATTCCAGTAGCCCATGTACCAATCCTATAATTGGTTCTGCTCATCTAAGTAGTTTTCCATTAGACACTGACTTGTCTTTTCAGTCCTTTTCTGGTTTTACAAGATTCCACTTCACTTGGTATCAGTCCTCTAACAACAAGTTCCATTATATTCTAGTTACCTTCACCAGTACATGTCTTTCTTGTCCTGAACTATCCCTATCTTTCGTTTCTCATCCATTATTTAACTACTCCTTAGAGGTCTCCTGATGTGTCTGCAGCCATTGTTCTACATGTTGTTGAAGCCGCATAAAACCTACATAGATATGCTCTTCAGTTTAATTCTCCACTGCTCTATACCGGCCCTCTACACTGTTATTACAGCTATTCACCAATCTGGACCATGTGGACGCAGCCTCACAGGTTCAAATCTGGTCATATGCCCCATCCCCATGACCCCCTCTGAGCCTATTGTCACCACTGTACAGCACTTTGAGTGTACAAATCTGTCAGCAGGGTCTATTCATAAACTGCGGAATACATCAATGCAGGATCACACATCAACACCTGCTCAATCGCTCCATCACACACACACACACACACACACACACACTGCAGCAATATGTATCTATTAATAACTGTCTATTTCTCAGCTCATTATTAATGGGGCATCAGCAGGACAACATGCTGACCTTTATTAGCCCAGGAGAGCTAATTAGAGCTAGCTTCCACACACACTCTCTTGCAGACCACATGAGAAGAAAAGGAAGGAAAAGGTGAGCTGATTTTGACATTTCCTCAGTTCGGAAGAAACATCCAATCATGAAAGTCGAAATTCCCATTAGAGAGAAAACTTTACATTTTACCCAAGGGAGCTTTCTGAAATACTTCACAGATTTTATTCTTCATCGTAATGTTATTGCAGTACAATGTATTACACTCTCAAAACACGTCTTTGCTATCTCTGCAGTACCCAGATTCAGCTCTGCCCACACAGAGAACTACAAGAGAAGAGGAGCTTTAATATTGTTAATGTTATTAGTCTCATGTGAGTTAATCTCTTAATTTGCACTGAGCATGTGAATCATGGGAATTCACTTCTTTCATTAGTGACTGTCTGTGTGTGTGTGTGTATGAGTGCATAGGCTGCCTCCTAGTGGTCACTGTGGGGGAAAGAAATCCAACTACTGCTGTGTTCAGTGGGAGTAATGTGAATTATGACCGTAAAAATTGTGTCCTCAAGTTATTCATACAGAGGAATTTTTAATTGTAATGATTATGTAATGATTATGTAATCGTTCTCTTACTCTGATTATGTTTCTAATTTTTCTTTTTGGAGTTTCCATTATCTCTGTGATTGGCAGTGGTGGAAAACATCTAAATATGTTCACTCACGCACTGTAATTTAATAAAGTATTTTTTTCTACCACCAGCTGTTGGCTTGAAAAGTATGTTGCTATTGGCAACCACAATGGCCGAATTCAAAATCAGATGGTTTAACTGCCATTGTTTCATCCACTTTTTTTATTCATTTAGTAAAATCTGTAACCAAGAAAGAGGAATATTTCATCTTTCCTCCATTGATGAGTCACTGTGAGTATAGTCTTTTATTACAGTTTTCTTTTCCAGGTTATTTCTTAATCATTTTTTGCCATCCCTTAACTTCTGACCAAGGTAGCTATTTTACTCACTGAGTTTAACATGTTGCCAACAAAACACTCAAAGTAACTGTTGGGGCTAACTTTAAACATCCACTCATATCATCAATCAATCAATCATTCTAATAACAAGTGTTATCTCGAGACGCTTTACAAAAGAGCACATGGGATAATATGCAGGTAGGATTTCTCCTTTGTATTCCTCGAGTTCCTGTTCCAAAAAGCCTACTATATTCACTGTATCACAAGTGCTACCAGTATTTTAATGCTACTCCTTAGCTATCTTTTTTTCTGAGCTGTGTTTAGCTTGCTGCACCTACACAAAGAGTGTGGGCAGAAGAACTCCTCTACGTTTAGAGTAGTGTTATAGTGTAATATAGTATATTCTACCACTGAGAGCTGTAGTGTTTCTTTAGCAATTAACAACAAAGTTTATGAAAGATGGTGCATCGTAATAGAGTTTATTACCCAAAGGCATGTTGTAGGTAAGTAAAATGATGCTAAAAAAGAATGCATCAGTAAATGTAACCTAGTGTTAAAGACAATTCCAACTGTGACAGGACCACATTGTTTGACATAATATGTTTAATTAGGTTCATGCTGAGTGCAGGGCTTGACTGAGTGAATCTTCCATATCAGTGATATTAGCTGCTTTAATGTAGACGCATAAATGTGTGCAGAATTTTGCTATTTTTCTGTTGAAAACAAATAATGTAGAAAAGAAAAATACGTGTACGTCAACACGATTTCTAAATCGCCTCGATCTGAAGCTGCAATCAAATACGTGTTGTATTTCAAGAAACACATTAATAAAAAGGAAATACATTATTCTAGAAATGTTGTATTACTACCTTTGACTGAGGAACTCAAAGATCATAATGACTGTCCCCCGGCAGCACCACTGTTTATACTGGCTGTGATGTCATCTGACCTGACTGCTGATAGGCTGCTCAGACAGCCAGGTCACTGTCACACGCAGACACACACAGATGCAAACACACACACACACACAGACGCACACACACACACACACACACACACACACACACCACACACACACACACACACACACACACACACACACACACACACACACACACACACACACACACACACACACACACACAGCCTGGCCTAAAGGAGCTGAGTTCAGGCCAAAGAGCTTTTCATGGTCGAGCGAGCATCACATAATGGACAGACAGACAGAGAGAGAGAGAGAGAGGGGGAGAGAGAGAGAGAGAGAGAGAGCAGCACATGACCATTCAGGCTGAGTGGTGTGTGTCAGTGTGTGTGTCGAGAAAAGAGAGGGACTTAATCTTTAATCAGTGTTACTGTATCTTGCAAAATGATACGGACGCTCAGTGTGTAATTACAGCTGCTCTACATATACACCTGAGAATGGTTGTGTTTGTGTGTGTGCAATGTGAGATTGCCTTTTGGTTTCCCTGCACCCCTGACATCATCATCACACATACAGTGTGTGTGTGTGTGTGTGTGTGTGTGTGTGTGTGTGTGTGTGCATTAGATTTTTGTGACTATGTACTTTTTTGGCTGATTTGGTAACCTATTTCTTTATTTAATCAAAATGTAAGTGATCTTGTCTTTTCATTGCTCAGTTGGCAGAAATTTGGCAGAAACTGCAAAACACAAATTGAAGTTCTTATTGTGTTTGTAATCATGAAAATATGAAACTAAACTAAACAAACTTCACCTCGTTATTTTGAGATGATTCACACAGGGATGTTATCAGAGCATACCTTTGTGAGTGCAGATATCAATAATTAAGCAACAGCAAATAAAGTATTGTTAAAAATCGATGGAAACAAATTGAATCAAATCTTTGAGAAATGTCAGAGAGGTTTTGGAGCGGTGCCATGCCCCAGTTTAATGACCTGCTGCTGTCTGCTCCACTTTAACTCCTCTACATCTTACAGTACTTTCTAACACTGTTGACCAGCAGTTTGACTTTAAAAACTGGAGCTGAAAAAGTCACCTGATAACCAAAGTCGTCAAAGTTCAGCTTTTCAATGTGGCAAACAGATGTTTGGGTGGAGCTAACAATATACCTCAAGTATAATGGGGCTGTATTTCGCACCCCATTCAGTAAAAAACTGCAGTGATGATCTTACTTAATGCAGGGTCAGATTATCCTTTTTAGAGGTCAATCTGACACACACATGCACCCCACACAAAATAACTCTGACCTTACCCAGGGGGCAGCAGCTGTTGATGACGGAGGAGTCAAAGTCACTCTCACTCAGCAGACAGTCTGTCAGACTTTACAAATTGATGTCCTGTTTGGCTTCTAATGTCCATCTGGTAACTTTTCCATCTTGCACACAACTTTAAATTGTTGTTTGGATTTAGATCACGGATTATTCTTCTAATGCATGGACAGAATGTAAATGTCAGTAGTCTTTGCGGTGTGTTTCAGTATAATGTTTAACATAAGAGGAAGCACAATAGACCAGAGGCACACACTTGTAGTTTGTTGTCGTGTGTGGGTTGATGTGTGGTTATATTGAATAGCCTATTTGGCGGTGTGGTTGTTTGGGTGTCCAACATCACTGAATGTCAAACTGTCAGATGCCTTCTATATTTGGTATATTCCCACCCGGCTAGTTAAGTCGGCCTTAGGGCCTACTTGTTTAATAGCAAATAATTGGTCAAATGTGCGCACAGACATATCAGCACTTGTGTTGCTTAAATATCAGCAGGTCATTGTTTGAATGATAAATCCATGTCACTGACCATGGTGCTGAAATAGCGCTCGTAATCCGCATTTCTCTCCTTCCCGCCCTTCCACCTCCGTAAATTTCCCTTTGGATCTGTCTTTCATCTCCATACAGCTGATCTCTTACTCGTGCTCCAGAGGCTCCAGGTTAGGCGTTTAGAATAAGTTAGTGAAAACCCAGAATTAACTCTGAAGTTACCTCTAAATCCTTCTTTGTACAGTAGTACAGGCCCCAGGTATGTTAGAACTTGCATTAGTACTACTCTTACCTGAAGTGGAGCTGGTAGGAACGCTGAGGCCTGGGCAGAGGCCTGGGGTGGGAGTTAGTCCAGCAGGCTGGGAGCTGAGCCCTGTGGCCTGGGGAAGAGACCTGGACTGAGCCCCTGCTGGATTCAAAGAGAACACAGGAGATGACATTGATAAACTACGTCCACTATTGGAGCTATTACAGCCTCCTATAATCGCTCTTTTAAATCTCCTGAAAACATGTCTGATTTCATGGTCTTAACTTAAATCTAAAGGCTTCTTAAAAACGGAGGGAAGTCAAACTCCCTCTGGATTTTCTGTTCTCAGCTCTGTGTTCACATGGAAGGGACGGCGCTTCCTTTAGCTTGTTTATGTTTCACTCAGAGGCTCTAACTTGCTTCATACGTCTTTTTTTTCAGAGTGATCCACCCCCCCTCCCCCCCCCTTCTCCAACAGTTAGCCCTGCCACCATGTGGGGGAGAGAGACAGCCCCGCCCACTCAGGGAAGCTGTGTCTCGGGGCATTATAAGGGAGTATCGTCGCAGAAGAACAACTGATGGAAAACCAACAGACTCTCCAAAAAAGACTTTCTATGGCCTGCAACCGAATCAACTTTGCGATGCATATCATTACTTGAAAACTACAACCACATGACGTTAGCAGCTGTAAGGTACCTGCTGTCTGTTGTCCCGTCTCTCCAGCCTGCAGCTGTCTCACCCTCCGGAGGTGAGACCTGCCATTATAGTGCAGCTGGGCCTGAGCTGCAGAGGTCAGCTGCAGGTTGCACACGTCACACAACGAGTAAGTCCCGCTCTGACCTGAAAAAGAAAAACAACAGGTAAGAGAAAATGACAATCAGCAAGAACTTAAGAGAAAGCTACGACAATGAGTAAACTTGAAAATGACAACGGGTTGCACGACAGGGGAAGACAACAAGGAAGAGTCCGACAAAGGGGGAAACTACAAGGATCAGTCTGAGTGTTGGAGAAAATTTCAACAATGACAAACTGGAAACTAAAAAAAAAGTGTATTCAGCTTTCATCACATATGCACTCCTGAAAATGTATAGGAAATGTCAGACAGGCTGCCCCTGATCTCCTCCTGACTTGCTTGTTCACCCATGCAACCTCACAGCGAGAGACTATCCCTGACAGACGGGAGCAGGGGGGGTCTCAGGAGGTAATACATGCTGAAAAAGAATGACGCGGAAGTAGCAGACAAAGCAAATTTCGTGCAAGGAGATAACACCGGACGAGTGTATATACAGTCTATGGTTGTGTGCCAGTCACAGTATATAAAATGTATAAAGCTTCTTGAATATTTAATGCTGCATCCACACATCTGCTCACCCTGACTTCGTGCAGAAATGTTACTAGGGGGCTGACAAAAAAAAGGTCCAGGTAAAGTCCAATTGAAAAACTCTGCTATTTGAGTTCCCACATGCAGCTCTTCTGAAAAACTTCAAAAAGATTTCAGGAGTTTTGTGATAATGTGAAAGCACCATGAGACTGTGGGTGAAAACTACTAGGTTTAGTCAGGCTGTAGAAGAAACGACAACAACTTGGGTTGGAGTGACAGAAGAGAGTAGAAATCTCCGGCCCTGCAAATAGTCAATTACCTGTGGATGGAGTCTGCTGCATGGAGAGACTGATGGTGGTGGGAATAGGCGGGTCCATCAGCTCTTGACACATCCCTCCAAAGGCAAAGATCTGCCCTCTCTCCAGGAGCTGAGAGGGGCTGAGAGGGGTCTTCATCCCTGAGGAAGAATAAGAAGAAAAACATGTGAATGATAATCACTGACCACCAATATTGACTCAGAGGTGATATAAACAGCCAATCCACCTTCACGTAATGCTTGATGATATTACATTAAGTTATCAATAATTACCTGTAATGGATACCACCACACTTTAAACTCCCTATTTCAATTTATCAAGCTTTATAAATGCAATAAATGTCTCACAGCACTGTACAATGTATTTGTATGCAATGATATGAACTCCTAAAGTACATTAATCATAACTTTTCCAATGAAGACATATTCCATATTGCTACAATTGCAGTTTCTAGACAAAATATAAAAAAAAAAAATTAAATATCTGTTAATTCATTTGTTTATTCATTATTTCTACTGCTGTTGTTTTTATGTGTGCAGGCTACATTTGCTTTGGACTTGTTTATTTCTGAGCTCATTATGTAACAGTTTACATTTTTAAACTTTTTTAATATAACTAAATGTTTACAGGAACAGCATTTGTAAGTAGTTATGCAAATAATCCAAACTGTGTATCTAGTGCAACTAAACATTAACTGCAAAAAAACACACCCGACACACACACAGTGAAGAAACAAAAACACAGATCAAACAGTTTGAGTCGGATGCGTAAAGGTCAACCAGATCGACTGCTGCAGTCCTTGAAATCTTAAACGTCAAACACAGACCACATACAAGTAAAGGCCTTTTGCATCAGCAGGTGTGGAAAGTTTGATGACAAACTTTTGTTAGTATGAACATGGAACTGGAAACATAGCATATAAAAAAAAAAGTATAAAAAGAAAAGTACTTAAAGATTATGCAAAACCCTTATCTGTCAAGAATTGATCTACCTATTTATAAAAAAAAAAGTCAGAGAAATACTGAAAAACACAGGGCAACCGATCCAACAGAGCAGGAGCGCGCACTGCTGATGTAAAGGTGACAGTGAACATCGAGGAGAACAGGTAATGACTTTAGAGGAAGACGGACAGGTGGACGGACAGACTGCAGGGGGGGACAGACAGATGGACAGGAGTGAGGCCTGAATGACACCGGATGCAGAGTGTGAAACATCAAACGCTCACAGGGAGAGTGATGAAGTAATGAGTAAGAGAGGAGAGAGAGGAAGGATGACATATGTGTGTGTAAGTGCTCAGTGTACAGTGTGTGCGTGCGTGCGTTTGGAAATGTGTAGGTCAGTCCATGACTGTGTCCATCTGTTTTCCTGTCAGCTCTGCCAAAACACATGACCTCTGACTGGACACACACAGACACACACTATTTTTTTTTTTTCCATTTTCAGTTAGCTTTATTGCTATAACCTACATACATACTTGATACACACTGTTTAAATTCACTTAAAGGATATAGATCCCATTTGGATTAACTCATTAAGGCTGTAAAGGCATACCAATGGCTAATTACACAGAAACAAATTGTTTGCTAATGATAGTTTGTAATTCATAGAACAGTATATAACAGCTGCTGGTGCCAATAAAGCCTGCACGAGAGATGAAATCAGGGCCTCTTCATTGCTAGTGCTAACATCAACACACCAGCTGGACCAGCCATGCGGATTGGCTACGTTTAAAGCCTCCGAGGCAAAATTGTGATTTTGAGCAATATAAATAAAACTGACTTGAACTGACTTGACATTTAGCCAAACAGGAAGCCACTATTGTTATTCCACAGCCATGGGTCAGCCTGTGGGACCTACTGAGACCCAGAGAGCCGCTATGGTGCTTTGTTTTGCTTCTTATTACAGTGACAAAGTGTTCTGAGTGTGCAGTAGGAGTCATGATGGACAAAACTGTTTTTTCTTTGCACCCCTGGTTCTGGAGGTAGAATCCACCCACAGTTGGAGCACTTCCTTTATTTGCATGAAAAAAACTAGTGTTTCATACTTGGCAATTAACCTGATTCTGATTCTAAGTAAGAAGGAAATAAATTAAATGAAATGTAGGGAAAGATAGTCTTGAAAGGTTAAAAGAAAAATGAGGTTATAGCTATTGAAACATTTAAGATTTTGCTGAAAAAAAACATGAACAAATTGTCTTTTTTTATTTTTTTTTAGCAAGTGAACATAGTATACACTGTACACTATCCTCTTTGAGGTGTTCATTATCAGATATGAATGGACTTAATCAGAGGAAACAGTCCACTTTGGGCTCCTATTTATCCATTCATTCCTGATAATGTACATCTCATTGAGCATTTTCCCTTACTTAATAGTGGGCAAGAGAAATATATAACTGTGGTCTGGAATTCTTTTTATTATCTACAGTTCCAGTTACTGCAAGGTTATAAGGGAATGGGGGGGGAAAGGGAGGGTTTTTGGACACATGATGTTAAAATAGGTTTGTATAAAGGGGAAATGTTATTTATCAGGCAGGATGGTCATTCTCTATTTCTCTCTCTCTCTTTTTCTTACTCTGTCTTCCAGCTGGTTGTTGGAAGCCAACTTTATATTCTGCAGACAGCTGGTTAATCTGCCACAGTGATGAATTAGCTACAAAATGAGACACACACACACACACACACGCACACACACACACACACGCACACACGCAGACACATGCATAGAGCCAGCTGATGCTGACATCAGCTTTAGCAAAGGAAGGATTAAATATATCTGCTCTATTGAGCTGGGAATTACACATGAAACACACACACACAGGTGTCCACACACACACTACAGACAGCCACACACACACACACACACACACTGCAATAGGAACGAGAGTAAGAAACAGCAAGTCAGTGAACTGAGCATCAAAAGAAAATGAAATATGTGTATTTACCTTTTCTTATAATGTGTGCATGTGTGTGAGCCTAATCCAGGCTGACCGGGCAGTCAGTAATCAGAGAGGCCAGCTGTGGGTTATTAATCCCACACAAATACACACGCACACACACAACACACACACACACACACACACACACACACACAAACCAAGGCACACAGCAGTCAAGCAGCAAAACGATGTGATCCCTGATTGAAGAGGAAAAGGGGAAATATTCCCTTCGGTGTCTGAAACCACAGGCCAGTCTTCACAACAACCTGAAGAAGAAAATATGTTCCACCTTTTAAGACTTCAAAAAGTCTCAACAGAGTGTAAGATAAACACTTGTTTGAGTTCCACTGTCATCCGCAGGAGTTAAATGTGGTCAGTCAACTTTTTAGCTAAGCTGCTTTTGTTTGGATGTTTTTCCTGAAACACAGATCACTATAACCTCTCTCGGAATAAATGATGGGGTGCCGCAAGGTTCAGTGCTTGTACCTTTACTAATCAGACTCTATATAAACAAACACTATCATCACTCAAACAAATAACTGTATTATGTCTATATGCAGATGACACTGTTTTTTATGTCTTCTCCTCAACTCAGGATAAATAACATCACAATGTAACTTTAATATTGTTCAGTCTTCCCTGCTCTGCCTGTACTAAGAGCTGGTAAAAGAAGCTGACGGTGATATCTTCTTCACACCCACAGTGTTACTGGTACTGAAATGGAAAATGTCCACTAATATAAATACCTGGAAATTTGGCTAATCCACCATTTACCTGTCAACGTGGAGATCTATAATACTTTTGGATACTGCTTATACTGCTCTGTCTACTTTTCAACACATTGATGCTGTTCATATGCATCCCTTTTCATAGATCAATTCTGCAACAGGGCCGTAAAAAAGTTCTGTTGTCCTCACGCCATAAGACATTCATATTGATTCCGAACGGCCAACAGTGTAAAGCTGCTCGGCACAGGGGGTGCTCCACATTAACACGCAGTGCGCTGCTCTCCCCTGCTGGCTCCGCCGATCCCGCCTTGCCCCTGTAACACCTCTTTTGCTACCTCTGAAGGCGGCACAGAGGGGGATCAATATGTCTCCTATGATGCCTCCCGACAGTCATATTGACAGTGAAACTTCATAGGGGTGTAAATATTGCGCCTTGAAATGGCTATTCAGGGCTCATGTGTGTTTTAAAGCAAGAGATCAACGCCTTCTTTTTCTATAAATGTCTCCTGTAAAAGCTGCCTCAGTTTGTCACAGCACTTCTCAAAATTTTGAAAATCACGACTTCTTTCTCTTGACTCCAGTTGCGAGTCATGTTGTAAACAATGACCAGCACGTAAGTGGTAGTTTTAGCATCGATATCCTTTATCACTCACATGAATGAATCCTGGCTTCAACAAAAGTCACAAAGAAGTGTCCGTTGCTCCCAGAGGCTTTTTTGTTGTCGGACAATAGGTGATAGATTCAGAGATCTCCTTTTTTCTACATCCAGTTTAACACTTTTTTTTTTGGATGCACATACGAGATGTGCCTAAAGGAGCAAGCAAACATTTGAAATAGTTTTACTTTTTGCTCTGCTAAGATTAACCTCACCAGCAGAGCATATCAAAGACAGCAGATCTCTGCCAAGGCCCTGCTCGGGAGTTAGGTTCTGGATCCAGTTCTAAATTTAATAGGATCTTTCTTGGCTTATGCTAAACCCCTCCACAAAGTTTCATAAAAACTGGTTCAGTAGTTTTTCTTGTAACTTTCTGACAAACCAACACACAGCACCAAGAACTGGCCTTAGTGGAGGTAAAACAAAATGTAAAATAATGGCAGCTCCACTCACCATGATGTACTACCATTAAGACTGTTTGTCTGCTGGAAACCTTTTATGGCTAAAATGTGTGTCAGCTTAACAACAAGGAGCAGGCAACTGCAGTGTGTGTTATTGTTCAGTGGGCTATGAAGGCTTTTATGAGCTGTTGTTCAGGTCTGAGGGATGTTTTTAACCCATGTAACCCTGCTACTGACGATATGCAAACGCACGAGAGACACAGGGTTTACACCTTTATAAATCTAACGTTATCTTTACTTGCTCATACACGGTTTTCATGTCGGAGAGCGGACAGACGACGGGCTATCTGAAGGGTTCAAAGCGCCGATTTCTTCTGGTGTGGAAGATAAAGTCGAAGCGATATTATGGGGGGCACTAATGTATGTCACTGTTCCCTCAGAGAAACTGTACAGCACACACTAACACACACACACACACACACACACACACACACACAAACAGTAACCTGAGGGAACAACGGGACAAAGAAACTAATGGAGATGTGAAAAGACAGAGAGGGAGGTCTTAGAGTGGCTCTCTCTCACCCTGAGGCCAGTAGCTGGTAATGACAGTGGTCAAAGACTCACACACACACACTAACTCACACACTAACTCACACACACGCAGAGTAAACAGCACAGTAGCCAGCAGCGGTAGAGATCCTGAAACGAACTACTAGATCCAGTTTGATGTTTGTGTGTTTGCGCCTGCAGGAATCTGAGATCCTACAATCAGAGGAGACGAGTGAAATCTCAAACCTTTGCCTTGCAAACATGGGTGCTGGATGTTATTATTTCTAAAGAATACATTTCCAGAGACGATTTCTAATAAAATAATTCAGAAACAATCAGAAATTGAAGTCAGACAATATCTTGGTATCCACAAGGCAGAGTTTCCTCCCAGGCCGTGCTCGACCTCCAACAAGCTGGTTCATCTCTCACCAAGCATTTCATTTTTCCAACCTCACAAACACAAACTGGAGCAGCTCTGACCTGAAACCACAAACCTTACGCTGGATTTATGGAGCTCGTTGGAAGGAGGAAGTAGGTTGAATTCAGGGCAAAAACTTTTACAGAAGTTTAATTCTTCTTGGCTCACGTTCTACTTACAAGACAAAACTGCTCTTAGGTTGTTAGATGATGACTCTGAGCCTTAATATGGAAGTAAGCATGTCTCTGAACAAATACTGCAGAGGGAAACTACACAGAAGGACCCACATTCAGTGTCCATTAAATAATGGTGCCATATATGAATGTTTTGTCATTTATCGCTGTGTCCTGCTAGTCTGTGATGTTTGATGGTTTGTCTCTAAGGTCGACCTCAGAGCTCGACAATCTGTAAGAAACATTATCAAATGATAAAAACATTGTATTTAAATTAAGCAGCAAAAAGACAGTGTAGTGTAAGACAACTTTAAATGATAAGACGCCTGGGAAACTACCCGATGAGCAGCTTTCAAACGGATACATGGTGTGCCATCTTTGTCTTGAATATATTTTTTTAATTTACAATTTGCCATTTTTCCAACATGCGTGAATGTAACCCAAACTTTATCATGATTATGTATCAAGTTCTAGTTTATGCTGTGTTGTCTGTATGCTGAAAATATAGACAAAATACTCTAAGCATAACCACAGAAAAATATTGTTTTTTTTATTTAGATTAACATCATGGGATTGGGTCAAGACTTAGAATTTTAGAGGTTGAGACTAAGGGTGTTACAGTATTTGTATTTGTCATGTAGCTGAATTTTGGATGCCATGGTTCAGTGCATGCTGTCGTACGATGAATGATGTCAGAAAGGAGGAAAAAAAGGCAGTCACACCTGACAGCACCCACTCACCAATCCAGTTGGTGGTAAAGCTGGTAACTGTATTTTCTAACTGCTATTAAACAACAAACAGAAGGAAGAAGCAGATGCAACAAAACGAGCTGTAAGACCTGCCTGCTTCTTTAAATCAGTTGTGTGGGGAAACTTTGAGTTTTGCAGTGCTGTATGTCATTGGAAACATCCTGAAAGTCATGCTAATTAATATTGGACAGCATCACCCAGACGTGCCAATCACCGGAGCCTGGCAAAAGAAAACAGGTGTCCAACAATTTATCCTGCTGTTTTTAAAAAGCCTCTGGAGGTGAAAGCAGTGAGGGTCGAATACGAGTTCTGACAGAGAACAAATAACCGCTTCACCCACTATTCACTAGAAGCAGACAGATTCAGATAACCAATAACCATTTAGCTTCTTTTGAAAGTCACCTGACTTAGGTCCACAGTTTTGGTAAGCTAGAGGTGTGTTTCAATCTGGTTGATGTGTTTCTCAGTTTGCCCACAGTGCCACTGAGGGCACCACTTTCTATTTTTTCATGTATGAGAAGAAGGCAGAGTCTCATCCACATCCCCACACATGTACCTGTGTCTAAGATGATTAGAACCAGTTTGAGGTCAAGAAGCTTCTCAGTGACATGATTGATAACAAGTGCAATGAGCTCCTCAGCCATTCAGACTGCAGTGAACCTGAAGACCTGCAGGAGGCCGTAACCTGAAGAGACTCTCAGGACACTTAAGGTGATCTCCATTCAGCTAATTGTGCTTCCTCCCTCCTCAAGACACTGACCCAGAAAACCAACCGAGGATAGACTATCATCAGGATGTTTTAAACCCTTCAAGCTGTCCCAGAGAAACAGATTAAGACATATCCAGTGAATATACTCTGGCAGGACAAGCAGCGCCCCTTTGATCAGTATGAAACGGAAAAGTAGCATCCGAGCTGCTGCTGAAATAACATTAACGCTGAGATTAAAGTGAATGCATCATTACATAACTGAGGGTTTGGTCAAATATTAGTGGAATAGGAATTTATATTGACTACTTTAAGTCAATCATGTCAATAAATGAAATAACGCATGCATTTTTCTTAATTCTTATCATGATTTAATTATGTTTTAAACAGCTTAATAGTCGGTAGGAGTAATGTCTATATTTTAATGACACCTTAACACTGTTGCACTTCTTAGGTAAGTATTGGAGCAGAGGTATTCAGGCTTTAAACTGTTAGTCTTACATACGTAGAACGTTTGGGATGGAGTCCGATGTGGGTATTTACAGTTTTTTAAAATGCTGCTGGATGAGACAGGATGACCCATTTGGAAACTCAGTTTCCAGCATCTCTGCTCTTCTATTTTGCATCCTCGTTCAAGAGCTTAAACATGTGGAGGAGCCAGAAATGAGGGAATTGAGGAGGCGCATTAGCTAAATGGAAAGCACGCAGTCAGACAGGTGGAAAGACAGGTCTGCAGACAGTCCAGCTTTCTGTCCCGTCTGTTTTCTGGTTGTCATGGCAGCTCTGTGTCATTACACCACAAATGTTGATGTCACTGTGGTCAGATCCACGGGGAAACTATGACACACACACACACACACAAGCACACAGTGGTCTGAAAGGTTACCTGCAGTCTCAAGCTGGTTCTGCTGCTGTCAGGTCAGCATGAACACTTTTAAAGATATCCCTCAAGATAATATGGGGGGGGAGGCGGGGGATTTGGTCTGCCACGCCTGCTAAAATTTTAAGGGCAATCTTAATACTTGGGGCCTTAAAAGCCTGATCCTGATTCGAATCATACAACTATACAAAAATAAAAGACTTGGATCCCCTGTGAGTACTTCTATTGTTAGAATATTTCAGGCACTGTTTGTTGCAGATAACGCCCCCCGTGTATTGTACTGTAATTCTGGAGCAATCTATCCTTCTTTTGTTTTCTAAAAAGGTATTTCTTATTTTATTTTGATTTGAACACTGTAGCTCTAACTTTAGCGTGATTACGTATCCAGGATTGTCGTGTTGTCCTTCTATGCAGTATGAAAGACAAAGGTTTTTTTAATTAAGCCTCACAATTATGTAATTGTCCAGCGATGATTCATGCAAAATGGTATTTAAAAAAACAAAAAAACAAGAAAACAATCATTTTCAGCATGTTTGATGTTGGAGCTCCTTAAATATTGTAAAGAGCAATAAAAAAAAAATGGAATCTTCTGTTGTAGAGATTAGGTCACATTAGATGTTGGTTATATTCCATTATATTACAGTTAATGTGTTCAATGAATGATAAGTGATGACTTGTTCCGGTCTGTTGCTCTCAGCAGAAACTATTTGACAGAATCAGGGGTTTAATTTGTATCACTCTCAGAAAGTGATGCAGAGTGTATTTGTGTGACTCTAATCCTCTCATGTATATGGCTGACATCATGTTGTTTGGTTTACATACTGCAGCAGGGATTATACGCACGCACGCACGCAGGCTTGCACACACGCTCGCTCAAACACACACTGACACACACGCGCACGCAGATACACACTCAGAGCAGGAGGTCTCTTCGTCTAACCTTCAATCCAGGACACTGTGACTTCAATTCTGTCTTTTAATAGCTGCTCCATCAGGACCTGACACTTACTATTCAAGGTGAAAGTCAGATTTCACACTAAAATCCAGGTCTAACTATCTATCCTGCCAACTAATACGCCTCACAAATATCTAAACCGACGGGTCAAAGCATCACACTACAACTACTTACAGCTGCACAAAGCCCACTAACAACTCCTATCAATGTAGGATTTCAGAGCGGATAGAAATCCTTTGTCTCATAAACCAAATGTATCAAATCAGTAAAAGCATTATGTGGATAAATCTTCTCTAACGTTCCTGAAATATACTAAAAAAGAAGGCCAGCAGCTCCGTCATAGATTTGATTCTTTGAGAACTTCATCCATTTTTAGAGAAATCTGCTGCTGACCTTACTTCAAATTAGGGGTGGGTCGACATTGGTATTTCAGGGCCGCTACTGAATATTAGTAGTTCATGAGACTGATAACCGATATTTGGAACCAAAATGCATTTTCAGTAAAAATTAAATCTTTCTGTCAAAATTTTGAATTATGGAATATTACGGTCTCCAACACAAGACTTTGTTTAAATGCTCAACCGGAGACTCTCCTCCTGCTCCAGGCTGCTCTCGTCTCTGTGCATGTCAGTGGCACCCAGGTTTCAGTATTGATAGGCAATTACTCATGTGACGTCTAGCCAATCAGATAGTGTTGTGGACGGGACATTGTGTGAGACAGAGTGGTGAGTGAAAACAGAGCCAGAGGGAAAGACGCACCTGCAGCAGAGCCAACGTAGTGTACTTTTTCATTCATTCATTTGAGCTGCCATTCATAAAACAAAAATGCAGAATATCAGCCCCTGATAATTCGCCGGGCCAATAATCAGTCGACACCTACTTCACATTGTAAATTGAAATTGTAAAATTATTGGGAGTTGAAGTAAACGCGTGTAAATGATAGTGTTTCCGGCCTGTGCAGGAAGCTTTAAAATCACAGAGATAAACCAGATGTTCCTCTATAACAGACTGACCGGGATTAATGCACAAAAACACACATATACACACAGCTGCATGTAGGTTACCAGGCAGGCTGTGCAGGATTTGGCGGGAAATGATTGGTTGAGCCAGAAGGGGATTGCAGGATTGGGATTATAATCCACAGATAAGTGTTTGTGTGTGCGTGTGTGTGTGTGTGTGTGTGTGTGTGTGTGTGTGTGTGTGTGTGTGTGTGTGTGTGTGTGTGTGTGTGTATTGTAGCTCACTTAGTATAATCTGTGGTCTAATAATGGAGATTACGACTTGCACTCTTCTCCTGAACATCTACTGACAGTTGTCTGACTCCCAGCCGAGAAAAAGGCTGAACTGCTGTGACCTCCATGTGCCTGTGTGTGTGTGTGTGTGTGTGTGTGTGTGTGTGTGTGTGTGTGTGTGTGTGTGTGTGTGTGTGTGTGTGTGCATAAATTACAAACTTTTTAAGCATAGAAGTCAGTCTTAATCCTCATTCAATGGTGTTTATTCAGTGAACTAGCTCATCATTTTACCAAAGTAACTTTGGTAAAATAACTGATTTAAAGAGGTAAATCTCTTCTGCCCCATGTTGGAAATATCACAAATTGTGACATCTTTCTGTGGTATATGTTCCGATTTGTAAAATACAAAAAATACAGAAAATCAAACCAGAAATGTTAAGGAATGCACATCATTTTTAAATATCTCAATCACAAAATGAGGGGCAGTAAATTAACGAATATCAAATGTGCAAATCACTTGTAACTCACAGTTTCTGTGCCTATCTGCTGCAACATTGAAGACAATATCTGTGTTTCCAACATGTCACTCCTGAAGCAATAAATCCAAAAAAAATTTTGTTTTTTTTTTACAACAAAATTGGCACCAATTATCTGAGGTCAGAGGATTACTCGCTTGAGCTTCATCTGACAGCATCTAAAAGTTGAGTAAGCATGGTTATTATTCCCATGTCTCCTTCCAACAGGTTAAATGTACATATGCTAAATGAGAACTATTTGCATCTTTAAATGTTATCATTTTTACACAAACTCTGAGGTTCTGGAGTTGACTCTCAGACCAAAATCACCAACAAAAAAACCTAGCCAGATCTGTTGAAAATATCTGGGCAGCTCTAGCTCTGCCACTGTGCCAACACTCGGCAACACTCAACCTGACTCAGCTTTCCAACCACGTCAGTATCCCTCAGCTTGTCTTCATCAGGTGTTCTAGGTTTTAGCATTATTAAAATGAGCTATCTGACTGTCTTACTTTTTGCATTAGACTGAAATCTCAAATACTGTTGGATTGACTGCCATGACATTTGGTGCACATACTTATGGTCTCTAGATGATGGACTACACATTACAGTGGTTTAAGATCAGTGGTTCTCAACTGGTGGGTTGGGACCCAAAAATGGGTCACGGAGCTGTTTTCAGTGGGTTGCGAATGTGTGACTGACAAAAAATGGGTCATGCAGTCTGTGAAGATGCTTTTAAAAGATGTTTTTTTTGTTCTGTTTATTTGTTCTGTCACATACAAACTATTTTGAAGGAGCTGGTGTTGGGTCCTGAGGCTACACCAGTGAAACCACTGGTTTGGATACAGTAGATGCAACAAAAGTACTGGGCGCCAAACAAAGAGAGAATTGGCTTTTCTTTCGAGACTTCACCACAGACAAATATCACTTAAGCCACCAAGGACCCAGTTTTGGGGAAGAGACCAACACTAATTGGCAGAAGCTGACTTAGCAGTGCTTCCAAACAGGACCACAGCACCAAAGCTCTTCGGCTTCTACCCAAGATTTTGAGGCTGTGCTGGAAATAATGGCTCAAAACAGACAAACATGGGCTAAGAACCCTTGTTAGTATATCTTTCATTCAGTAAGTCATTAGTAGGTAAATAAATACATCATCAATAGTGGACACTTGTCTAACAAACATGTGAACGTTTGGACCAAATCACTAATATATTCAAAAATTCCTTTCAAACCCTCAGAACCACAGGACTTCAAACTATACAGCCAGTCAAGGTTGTAAAATTTCAGCATCAAAAAGTACTGAAGCTCTAAAAAAAAAAAAAAGACTTCAGATCTTTATTCAAATTTGCGGCCAAA